AATTTCGGAAACTACATAAATAAATCATCGCTCTAAATGCTGCATGACCATGAGTATCACATTAAAATTCTGAACTCATTTTCCTCATGGTTTTTTATACACTCAGTTTCTAACAAACAGTAAGAACATATGTGCGTATCAGTTATTACACAAGCACTTGCAACAGCACCAAGAGAGAGAGAGAGAGAGATCGATCATTTGAGTAAGTGTTTAATAGCTCATTTCATCTTACAATTATACAAAGGAAAAACCACAACAACAACAATATATTATGAAAGCAACAGACTGTATAAAAACACACTGCATACCCATATGAACATTGATTGGCACGGATCTGGCCCGTCATTCGGCAACCTTCATGCCAGAGAGATAAACCCGACTTTGAATCACACTGCCTCCAATCCAGAAACCAGGCATAACCATGAGACCAACCTTAGGCTTTTGATCACTTTCATCCATTATTAAATTCTTCACCACACTGTCCATATAAACCTCCGAGAACTCACTCCCCCTCTTGACCTGAAAGACCTCAACACGAGGATCAAAAGAATGAGCCAACCTATGCAAAAGCCATATTGACTTGGCCAGTTTTAGAAAAGCCTGGTAAAAAGGAGTCCTTGGATGGCCCCCACCCATTACATAATTTCGTTGATCTAAATTCCCGAAAAACGAAGTCTCCATTTTTGGGTGAACCACTACCAGGTACTTGCTCCTACAAAATCTCCCAAAAACAGAATCTGGATTTTGGCCAAGCATGTCCAATGGATCCATGTCCCGTAGGGTAAGAAATTGGTGGAAGAAGCTCTCCTTAGTGACTGTAAGATTGTCTAAGTTAAGGGAGAAGCTTTCCTGCTGAAAGCCACTGAACATTCTTTGGCAAATATGGGACTCAAAGGCATACTTCTTGTGAGCTCTCTTTGCATAAACAACATTGGGTTCAATAGAATTGGCTGCTGCATCAAGGTCCCACCCAGCTGCCTTCATCATGTTAATCAGCGGCTTAGAAAAATCATGAATAGCTTTGTATGCAGCTTCAACAACTGATGTGAAGAGATCGGAAGTTAGATCCACAGGCGGAAAACCATTTTCATCAGCGGAACCTTCTGATTCTTTGGTAGACATGCCCCTGAGCTTTAGATTCTTTTCTAACTTTGCTTGCTTCTGTTTTGCCTCCTCAATATGCTGCTGAAGCTGAAGGATTTCAGAATCCTTATTCTGGATTTCAGATTGGAATTTCTTAACCATAACCCCATAGGTTTTCAGCAGAATTTGTTGTTCTTGAATCTCTGCAGCTAGGCGGGAGTCCTGTGGAGAAGCACAAACTGGG